AATAGGCTCTTCATCGCTGAAAAAAAATTCTAAGCTCCTTCGTACGAGATTCTATGGAACAGGTGCTCGAGTAAATGTGCGATCATCGCTTTAGGTTAGATCTCGTGAACTGTACTCACCTCTCGCTTGACACTGCAGAAATTTCGTTCGATTTTCGCTAAGAATATTGCCGCTGCTAGTAGGCTGAGTGGTGAAGCGCGGTTCCTGGAGGGTCTCTGCAAAAAATAACCAGAAGAAAAAAATTTCAATATGCGGTCCCATTTCGCCATCATTGAGCGAGAATATTAATTTCATAATACTGCGAAGCTACCGTGACTCCTCAAATAAATCACATCGTAGTATATTTAAAAAAAAAAATATGACACATTGTACAGGCTTTATTTTTACATCCTAGAAATCACGATGATCTTCAGACAAATTTTACTATCGATAAAAAAAAAATTATTATTGTAAACGTTCTCCAAATGGAAGGATCAAGGGAGGAATACAAGTATTGATTGTTTCTTAGATTTTTTTTCTTTTTTTTTCTCTTTTTTTTTATATAGAGAAGAATTAATGTACTGCTTTCACAACTTCGAGGATATTTTAAGTATGTTTCAAAGTACCTTTGGTAATTTTCTCGAATCGTTTCACGCAGAAATCTTTTCGTATTCTCAGGAAACGTGTTAATAATGTCCAAGAAAAAATTGCTAAATGTACTCTGAAACATATCCAAAATGTCCGCAAAGTTCGATAAAAATTACGCAAATTTTTCTCTACAAAAAAAAAAAAAAAAAAAAATCACGAAGAGTAAGTAACGTTTGGCCTCCTCCTAATGCGATTCCTCCTTAACCCCCTTACTCGAAATTAGCCGATCGATCTCCGTGATCGACAACAGGGCGACGCGCGGCGAACCAAGGAGTCGCGTCAAAGGGCGTCGTAACCGTTTGCAGGGCAATTAATCGCGAGACAAAGGAACAATCGAGGGAAACGCGTTAAAAACATTGGAACGGGCTCGGTGAGAAAGTCCGGGACCGTCTTTAAAATCATCAGAGCGTGGCAGAAAAGGGGGTGCACGTGTCGGTTTATGTCCATGTGACTCGACTCCACGGCATCCGGCTGTTCGCATTCTTTTCTCTCCTCTTCATCCTTTTTGGTACACCGTAAATTACGCGCGCTTCAACCCGATGACTCAACAGACGTCGTTGCGTGGAATTCGAGCATAATGCTCCGATCCACCGTGAAGCATATAATAACATTATAGACTTAGAGGCCGGAATAATCGCGCCGTAGTCGTTCCGTGACGAATTCGATAGTATTTCAAGTAATTTCTCGATCGTAAGTAAAGTTTACGATCGTACTTGTACGATCCTCTTTTTTTTTTTTTTTTTTTAAAGAGATTTCCGTGCGAAATGAATCGAGAAAATCCATAGAATGAAACAAAGGAAATTCACAATTTGAAAAATATTTGAAAAATAAAGGTCGATTCACGACTATGCGACACGGACCGGCAACGACACGACAAAACATTAAAACACGCGTTTTAATGGAACTATTCGCACTTAACAGACACCGACCTGAACGTTCCGTGAACGGGAATAGTGTGAATAGTTCCATTAAAACGCGTGTTTTAATGTTTTGTCGTGTCGGTGCCGGTACCTGTCGTATAGTCTGAATCGACCTTAACTGTCTCTTTTTGCGATATCATCGAGATATTAACGCCCGAGGGTCTTTCTAAATTTCCGCGGAGGGATGGAGATTATAGAATCGACCATGGAATTTTATTAGAAATTCCTGAACCGTAAATGTTTCGACGGTCGCGGTTTTGCATCTAATAAAGCTTGGAAAGGATTCCTATCGACTGGAGGATCGAGACATTCCGTCTGTCGTGACACGCTCCGGTGCACTCACGGTGAAAGAAACCGTCTACACGTTAAATAAGATCGGCCACGAGTAACGAGGGAGGGCCGCGAATCGATAAATTATAAGGACCGCTGGAACAATAATCGATGGCCGTCGCGGTAATAATTTTCCTAAGCACGGTGCTTCGGAGACGTCTCGTTAAAAAAGAAGGAGAAATACCTGGTATTATTCTTCTCCTGCACAGGTATTATTTTCACAGTTTATTTTCAGCTCGAACGACGATTACTAGCTCGATAAACATACCTGTCTTCGCGGAGACGTGCCATGCTAGTTGCAGGATAATCATTTGAACGATAAAGGAATGCTTGGAAAAGGGAAAGTGCGTTTAGACGAAGCAGTGTTTTTACTTGTTCTATGGATTAATGGTACTAGTTATCAATGCAGGATAACATTGGGATCATCGACCAAACTGAAATTGGTTTGTCCAAGATAAACGCGACACGCCCTTTTATTTATAGAGCACACGTGAGACTTTAAGTGCATCTTAAGAACCTCCGTCTGTTTCACTGGGTTTGAAATTCATCAACGTTTTACGAGTCCCACGCAATGTAACGTTTCGCTGGTGTCTCGTGTCGCCGTGAATTTACACGAATGCACATTTGCGAGGAAACGAGGAAACTGTCTTATCGCGTAATGGCTCCAAACACGCTGGACACTCTTATTATGCAGGGCTGAGGTAACGTCAAATACTAAAATAGAAATACAAAGGAATTATTTAATATCAAGTCCCACGAGGTTCGTGTGACTTATCAATTTTTATTGTATTTACTCCCGTACAAATTAAAATTACATGAAATCTCTTGGAAAATTGAATGCATTTATTTAAAAATTTATTTAAAAAAAAAAAAGTTTCAAAATGATAATTCAACTATTCCGTATTCGTGAGAAAACGTTACTTGATATTAAATTCCACGAGGTCCAAATGGTTTATCAATTTTGTACATTCATTTTCCGTACAAATTAACAAATGCGAAACCATTTAAATTCCATGAAATTTCATGGAATATTAAATACATTTATTTAAAGACCAGCTTCAAAATAATAATTCAACAATTCCGTATTCGTAAGAAAACATTACTTGATATTAAATTCCACGAGGTCCAAATGGTTGATCAATTTTGTACATTCATTTCCGTACAAATTAACAAATATGAAACCATTTGAAATACGTGAAATTTCATGGAAAATTGAATAAATTTATCTAAAGATACGGTTTCAAAACATGTTATCGAATCAATAATTGAATTCTTTTAATTCTCTTCCGAAGGATTGATGAAGAGGCGAAGTTTGAGAAGCACTGTCCCAAGCTTTCATTACCCAACGAGAAAGTTAATTCTCGAGATTGTTTGGATAATATACCGAAGCGCGGTATCATAAGTTACGTTGTATATTCGAAACGAGCCGATCGCCTCGTTTTCTCCCTCGTGCCGAAATAAGACGGTACTTTATGCATCGAGGCTGAAATAAGCAGCAGCAGCCCAACATATGCGTGCTTAGGGCAGCCGACCGCTCGAAGTGCGATACTCGAAAAGCTTTAATAAGTGGAGCACACGAAAGCCTGTTCCTGCATGGCACACGAGCCACGAATCATGCATACCACGCGACCGCCCTGTGTTATTTTACCAATCTAACTCCAGATACCAACTGCAGTCATAATTTCTAGAAAATTAAGTTCTTTGCACAGGCTTGTCCTATGTAATTTAATAACGTGACTTATCGACGATTTCTCCTAGTTTCTTGTGCTACTCAAACATTGAAACAGGTATTTTGTTAATACGTGTGGAAGAGAATTGAAAATTTATGGTATCTTGGATAAATAATCCTTGAGATATAAAATAGATTATTCCATTTATTATCGTAAGATGTGAGATAACAGCAATTGGCTAATAGTTGTCGTACTTTTCTAGATACGCGAAATAAAAATTGATTTTTGTCTAGTTTAGGAGCTGCGAGTACGTTTGAAACCCCTACAAAATGTCGGACATGGTTATCGTGCTCACCCCTTTATTGCGTGAGCAGGATGTACATAGCTAATGATATAGCAACGTGTTCTACCGGACAGTAACCAGTCAGAAATCGATCAATAAGTAAACCAGAATGATTTCGTCTTCTTTCGAGCTGGCTAAACTCCTGGTTCGTCAGAACTCCGGTCATATATATAGAAAATTAACTTCGGATACCCGACACTCATTGCCAAACTGGGGATGCAATATGCAAATTCATATTTTTATTGACCCAGAAAAAGGAATGAAAGTAAATTTCCATAAATGCATAAATATCGACAGTCTACATTACAATTCGTATTAAGACATCAGGGATTAATTTGATCATTTTTCATTATTCGAATTTATTCTACACCTTGATATTTTATATCACTTTGCACATTTTGTGCACATCCTTAATTTGTTATATTCACAGACCCAGAAATTGAATATAAATTGAAATGAGAGTACGTCTTACTTTTTAAACAATGTAATATGTACTTTATGACTGTGTATTTGTGCGCATTCTAATTTGCAATAAATGCATAAACATCCACAGTCAACTCGTTGTAATTCTTACGAAGACGTTGGAGATCAATTTTACCATTTTTTTCCATTATTCTTTCTTCTGTACCTTTACCATATGTTTCACAATTTTCGTTCGACGTCGGTGTAAACGCGCACAGCCGACCACGTCGATAGGGTGATCGCAGGAAATAGAACGGATCCTCCCGATTTTTATTCATCGTTTGTTTGTACGAGGAACGGGCCAGGCTTTATGAAAGGGCGAATCAGGTTCATTCAATAACGACAATCGGTGGATGATTTATCCCAGCACATGCTCGCGTTATCGTGCCATAGAAAACCCTCGGTGCATGTTGCTGAACTACTGAACCCCTATTTTAAGCACCGCAGCTGTCACACAGAAGTGGCGAGGGCATGCATTTACACGCAAGGGCGTGGATAATCTGCTTTTACCAACGTTAACCGAGGAAAAACCGGAAAAATCGCGTCTCACTTTCGTGACATTACCCCCTTCTTTGGACCGATAAGACCTTTCCACTGGAAACCGTATCAATTATCAGCGCCTGCTTATCTGGAATACACAAATATTTTCTCTGCCCTTTAGTAAGATAAATTTAATCGATGGCATATGCTGTTTAACGCTATGTTTACCGAGATCTCTTAGCAGATTTCTATTAGGTACCGAATTAATGCTTTAATAACCGAAGTCGATTTACTAAAATTAATTAGGAGTCTTAGAAAAAGATGAATGTAAATATGTATTTATTGTAATACATATATCAAGGGAACCGAAAAGTAATCAAAAT